CCCGGCTAATTTTTGATTTATTGTAGAGATGAGGTCTCGTCAAGTTGCCCAGGCGGGTCTCGAACCCACGGGCTCAAGCAATCCACTCACCTCAGCCTCCCAAAGGCACGGGATTACAGGTTGAGCCACCAAGCCCAGCCAATAGCATGCTCTTAAGGCTGGACAAACATCTCAGCTACCAAAAAGATGTGTTAAACTTAGGGCTTGTTCAGAAGACAGATGATAGGAGTTGTCGATGAATTTGGAGGCTTTTCTTCTAGAGAAACACCTTGTTGACTGGGCTCGGTGGCTCAGCCTATAGTCCCAGCACTTTGAGAGCCCAAGGCGAGTGGATTGCCTGAGCCCACGGGTTTGAGACCAGCCCAGACAACTTGGTGAGACCTTGTCTCTACAATAAATCAAAAATTAGCCTGTCATGGTAGCGTGTGCCTGTAGTTCCAGATACTTGGAAGGCTGAGGCGGAAAGATCTCCAGAGCCCAGCAGGTTGACGTCGGCGTGGCTGTGTGTCACTGCACTCCAGCCTGGGCAACAGAGTGAGACTCCAACTCAAAAAAAAAAAAGAAAGAGAGAAATACTTTGTTAGAGCTTTTGCCACAAGTACAAAGGCACCTTCAGACAAAATCCTGCTCTTTGAGTTATGTATACATTGCCTATAAAAATGCCACTGCTACTTGTCTTTATTTGTTAATGATGATCACTTATGAGGAGAGGATCAAAGAGGGAAAAGACAGCAGCAACACAGAAAATGGCCAAACCTCAAGTTCTCTGGACTTGAAAGAATCTTGGGTTCTGCTTATTTTCTATGAAATCTCATAAACCAGAGGGAGAAGATTCTGCCTGGTACCCTTGTGAGCCTTGGCCATGCACAGGCACACACCCTTCCATTTAGTAACTGAGAGCTCAGCTTCCATGGTTACAATGTTGCTAGAAGACAAATGAACTTAGAAGTTAGACTCCAAGAGAAAATGCTAGGGGGAGGAGAAGATATGAAAGAAATAAAGGCAATATCTCCATCTCCTCCTCCTCCTTCTTTCATTTCTCAACTTGATTGTAATTTAGTTGATTTCTCTGACGGACTTCCTTTATCTCAGTAATTCATAACCTCAACTGCACATGGAAGATTCCCACCTGGGAATCTTTAGACAATGTATGCCTGTGCTCCACCCAAAGACTCCCAGGCAGTGGGTTTGGGTGCTGCTTGGGCCTTGGAATTTTGAAAGCTTTACTGGTGATTCTCAAGGCCAAGAACCACTATCCAGAGTGACACTCAGAAGCCATGGTGTGGGTGACGTGGTGATCACCCAACCCTGGTGTGGGAGACACCTGAAAGGGCTCTCAGAGCCTTTCTGCAACTTGGTTATGCAGACAAACCTGCTGGGGGTGGACTCTGATTCAGTAGGTCTAGGGCAGGGCCCATAATCCTGCTTTTCTAACCTCTCTGTGCTTTCAGGAGCGGATTGCCAAGTGTCATGGCACCCAGTGTGGGTTCTGCACCCCTGGGATGGTGATGTCCATGTACACACTGCTCAGGAACCACCCAGAGCCCACTCTGGATCAGTTAATGGATGCTCTTGGTGGTAGGTTATGTGTATGTATGTGTTTATCTTTAGATGATAGTGATGATGACAGCTAATGCTGGACACCCACCATGTGCCACAAGTTATATTAAATGCTATTTGAAGACTATCTCATTTAATCCTCATAATAACTTTGCAATAGTTACTTATCATCCGCATTTCAGAGATGGAGAAACCGAGGTTTGGAGAGAGTAATTTGTCCAAAGTTACACCACCAATAGGTGGAAGAGTTGGTTTGTTTAAATCAGAACTCAAGCCAGATCCACGCTTTGCATTTGGCTGATGTATTTCTGAAGTCTCTTTTAATCTATAGGAGTCCCCTCCCTTTTTATTGTTTGCTTGTTTTTATAATCATTAAAAAGTCAGTTTATTTATTGACTCTTGGGAGAAGTTCAGTCACTTCCACATGCTGTCCTCCACCGCTGTCACCTACTGGGTGGGTACTCTTGAGACTGTGCACAGTGGCTGCTGGTGACACAGCCTTAAGTCAAAGGCACTGGGACCTTATGGTGATGCTTGTTCCAGGGAAATGTCTCTATCCAGAACAGCTTTGTCACATTCAAGAGCTCAAAGTGTGTGGGGTGGGGAGGGGAGTTTCTCATCAACAAGATTCTAAACATTTTTTTTGAGTTGGAATCTCACTCTATTATCCTGGCTGGAGTGCAGTGGCTTGAACACAGCTCACCACAGCCTTGAGCTCCTGGACTCAGGCGATCCTTCTGTCTCAGTCTTCTGAATAGCTAGAACTCCAGGTGTGTGTCACCACACCTGGCTAATTTTTTTTCATATTTTTTTTTTTTTGTAGAGATGGGGTCTTGCTGTGTTGCCCAAGCTGGTCTCAAACTCCTGGGCTCAAGCAATCCTCCTGCCTTGGCTATCCCATAGTGCTGGGATTATAGGCATGAGCCACTGTGCCCGGCCTAAACAATTTTTTTTAAATGATACCCTTTCAAATCCCAATTCTGGTGAAACTCTCCATAGCTCTGTGTGTCTTTGTCTCTCCTACCTTCCGAGGACCTCACTTCTCTGCTGGAGACCATGAGTCTAGAGCCTGTATGTTTACAACTCCCACAAAGACATTCTAGGGAAAAACAGAGTAGGGAGGAGGAGATCCAGCTCATAACTGTCTCCTGCCTGATTTCCTCTTGGCCTTATCCTGTATTTGATTTCATGGTTGTCAGCGATGTGAGCTAGTGGCAAAGAGTTCTCAAGTCTTAGGGAATTTGAGTCGTACACTGCGAATTTAGGAATCATGAAGTTTCCTGAGACCCAACCCAGAGAGTTGGACTCAGTGATAATTGTTTTTAAATAAGACTTCAGATTTGGGGATGGGGAAAGGACATAGGACCATGTGAGAGAGACACTGGCCTAATGCCTTATTGTAAATAAATCATGTACCCAGCTGCTTCCAAAGTCTAATAACTACCTTTGCTGCTATAGAATAACATAACTGACACTTAGCATGCTCTCTCTCCCTTTTTTTTTTTTGCAATAAATTCATAACTATCACAGTAAGTGTTAACAATAAGAGTTTTTTGTTTTGTTTTTTTTGTTGTTGTTAAAGGTCTCACTCTGTCGCCCAGTCTAGAGTGCAGTGGTACAGACACAGCTACCACAGCCTCAACCTCCTGGGCTCAAGTGATCCTCCTGCCTCAGCCTTCTGAGTAGCTAGAACTACAGACATGCACAAACACATCCAGCTGATTTTTTTTTTTTAGAGAGACAAGGTCTCACTATATTGCCCAGACTAGTCTTAAACTCCAGACCTTAAGCAGTCCTCCCACTTCAGCCTCCCAAAGTACTGGGATTACATGTGTGAGCCACCATGCCCAATCCTGAGGGTTTTTTTTTTCTTAAAAAAGTAAGGAAATCATGCCATTTGCAACAACATGGATGATCCTGGAGGACGTTAACGCTGATTGAAAGCCAGGATGGAAAAGCAAATGCTACATGATCCCCCTTATATGGGGAATCTAACATAGTCATACTTGTAGAAGCAGAGGAGAATGGTATTACAAGGGGTGGGGGAAGGGAAACACGAGGAGGTGTTGGTCAAAGGATACAAAGTGCCAGGAATGCAAGATGAATAAATCCTAGAGGTCTGATGCTCAGTATAGCACCTGTAGTTAACAATGTAGACTTCAACATTTGCTAAGAGGGTAGACTCATAGCAAGTGTTCTTATCACTAAATAAATGAATACACAAATGCCAGGAGGAAACCTAGAGGTGATGCATGTGTTGACAGCGTTAACTGTCATGATGGTTTCATGGGTGTATACTTGTCTCCAAACTCATCAATTGTGTCTATTAAATATGCACAGCTTTTTGCACATCAATAATAGCTCAGTAGAAAGGCTTTTGCTTTTTTTAATTAAATGAAGCTTAACTCTTGAATGTGACTGTAAGTTACTGCAAGCGTTTGGCTTGAAATCATGGTGTTGTTTGAGCATCCATGACAAGCAGAGGGCATAAAAACTTGACACAGAGAGAGGACAAATGACTGGGCTGTTCAAATCTGCCTCAAGACTCTCAATATCTCAACTCAATATCCCAAGTTGCTGATAGAAAAATCTGACTTTGTAGATTAGGAGGACCAAAATGTCAAAAACAGAGCTTTCTTCTAGGATAAGGTCCTCATTTCCATCACACGCTTTGGCAGACCTGCCTCTGTCTAGGTCACTTGACTAACAGTGTGGGGCTTTTCTCCCCCAGGTAACCTGTGCCGGTGTACTGGGTACAGGCCCATAGTGGATGCATGCAGGACACTCTGCAAAGTAAGTAGACAGGAACTCATGGCTGAGCTTACTTTTCCCCAGTGAAACAACATGGTGGGGGTGGTCAGGTATGACCTGAGGACAGCCATTTTTATAAATATAGGGATATTTCTTAGCTGAAGGTCTTCTGGGTTTTGTTTTGTTTTGATCAGTGTGTCATTCTGTCCCCCAGGCTGGAGTACAGTGGCGCCATCATGGCTCACTGCAGCCTCAACCTACCTCCTGGGCTCAGGCGATCCTTTCGCTTCCATCTCCTGAGTAGCTGCAACTACAGGGGTGTACCACCACACTCAGCTTTTATTTATTTATTTTTGTAGAGATGAGGTCTTGCTATGTTGCCCAGGCTGGTCTCGAACTCCTGGGCTCAAGCAGTCAGTTCCCCCACCTCAGCCTCCCAAAGTGCTGGGATTACAGGCAGAACCACCACGCCAGAGTAAGGTCTCCTGTTCATTATTTGATCTGAGCCAGGATGCTTACCCCTGTTCATTGAGCTTGCCTTGGTGGTCATATAAGGAACACCCACACATTTTGACGTTGGCTGCAGATCATTGCTTCTAAGAGGTCTTTCCTGGCCAGGCTCGGTGGCTTAACCTGTAATCCCAGCTCTTTGGGAGGCTGAGGTGAGTGAATTGCCTGAGCCCATGGGTTCAAGACCAGCCTGGGCAACTTGGTGAGACCTCGTCTCTACAATAAATAAAAAATCAGCTGGGCATAGTAGCACGTGCTTGCAGTTCCAGCTACTTGTAAGGCTGAGGCGAAAGGCTCGCCAGAACCCAGTAAGTTGATGCTGGGGTGGCCGTGAGTGTGCCACTGCACTCCAGCCTGGGTGACAGAGTGAGACTCCAACTCAAAAAAAAAAGGAAGTCTTTCCTGACCTGTTTGGGTTATGTACCCTGCCCTGGCACCCCAGCAGTCTTTTGTGCACATGAGATGTGTGTGACCCATCACAGCGTGGTCACAATGTGGGATATTGGCCAGTTCATCCATCTCTTCACTATACTATGGGCTACATGACTACAGAGGCTATGCATCTCTAGGGCCAACCCCCAAGCACTAATTGAGCAGTTACTCCGTTAACATTTGCCGAAAGAATAATTGAAGAAACTATTGAAGAGAGGGACATACGATTCCCCTTTGGAAGTTAAACTGTGAAATCAGTACATCACAATGATGCCAACAATACTCACTAATATTTAAAACATTAAAATTATTAATATTAACAACTAATCCTTGTTAATGCTGATTATTTATTGGTGTGTGCCAGGCTCAGTTATAAGAGCTTATGTATTTTTGCTTATTTAGTCATCACTGCTACACACAATTTGTTATAGGCTTAGGTTTTTCGTGAGAGTGAGTTTGGATATGTTTCAGATCACATGGCTCTCTCATGACATCCAACAACACTGATTTTGTATTGTATGTCAGCTAGTATCACCTGCCTTATCTCCTACTAGTAGAATCAGTGATAACTGTCTAGTGATTTATTTTCTCTCCCACTAGGATTCTGCCTGCTGTCAAGGCAAAGAAAATGGGGTTTGCTGTTTGGATCAAGGAATAAATGAATTGCTGGAATTTGAAGAAGGAAATAAGGTCAGTGAAATGGAAAGTTTTCACGAGATTTTCTCCAGACAAGAGCAGCTGCTGACTTACTTTTAGGAAGAGTAAGTGGCTGCCCAAGGTAACTCCTTTGAAGACATTCTGACTTCATCTCTATAAAGAATAATCCTCTTGTAATCCCAGCACTTTGGGAGGCCGAGGTGAAGGGATTGCCTGAGCCCACGGGTTGGAGAACACCCTGGGTAACTTGGCGAGACCTCATCTCTACAATAAATCAAAAAGTTAGCCAGGTATGGTAGCACGCATCTATAGTTCCAGCTTGGAAGGCTGAGGCAGAAGGATCACCAGAGCCCAACAGGTCGATGCTGGGGTAGCCATGACTGTGCCATTGCACTCCGGCCTGGGCGCCTGAGTGAGACTCCAACTCCCCACTCCCCCCCCAAAGAAAGAAAAGAAAAATTCTATCCTAGCAATTTTGTCCCTCATTCTAGATATTGTTATAATTGGTTGATTGGTTGATTGATTGATTGATGTGAGTTGAAGTCTTTCTCTGTTGCCTAGGCTGGAGTGCAGTACACGATCATGGCTCACTGAACTGCCCACCTCCCAGGCTCAGAGGATTGGAGTTGTTAGGACTACAGGCATGCACCACCACACCCAGCTAAATTTTTTATTTTTGGTAGAGATGAGGTCTTGTTATGTTGGCCAGTCTGGTCTCGAACTCCTGACCTCAAGCATTCTTCCTGCCTCAGCCTCCCAAAGTGCTGGGATTACAGGCATGAGCCACCGTGTCCAGCCTATTAATCCAATTTAAATAAAATTTGTCTATAGAAGAGAAGAAAACACTGATTCTTCAGTGTCTCTTATTTGTAAAAAAAATCCGTTTTCAAGGGCCAGAAGCCAAGTGGAGACATCAGGGAGGTGAAGAAACAGGCAGAGCAGTGGGGGCAGGAGAAGCTTGGGGAGCCATTGCTGCTCTCAGCTTTGTCTGGTGCTTGCCACCGCCTCTGCCATCCTTAGACTCCAGAGAATGTGCAGATGTTGAGGGCTGCCAACGCCCACTGGTGTCTGTACTGAGTTGATAGTGACCAGGTCTATGTTGGAACCCTTAGATTGGGGTTCAGGGATTGTGGCTGGCCAGCTGACTTTCTTGTCTGTTGTTCTCTATCTGTCTGTCTGACTTCATTCCACACACTATCTTAAACTAGGTAATTTTAGTCTGGATGAAACGGCTCATGTTTGTAATGCCAACACTTTGGGAGACTGAGGGGGGAGGATCACTTGATTCCAGCAGTTTGAGACTAGCCTGGGCGACATAGCTAGACCTCGTCACTATAAAAAAAAAAAAGTTGGCCGGGTGTGGTGACATGCGTATATTCTTTCTAGTCCTAGCTATTCAGAAGGCTGAGACAGGAGGACTACTTGAACCCAGGAGTTCAAGGCTGCTGTGAGCTATGATTGCACCACTGCACCCCAGCATGGGTGACAGATCAAGACCTTGTACAAAAAAACCAAAAAAAAAAAAAAAGTAGTTGCTTCCTGACAATAACATCAGTTATTTTCTCTTTTTAAGACAAGTCCGAAACTCTTCTCAGAGGAAGAGTTCCTGCCTTTGGATCCAACCCAGGAACTGATATTTCCCCCTGAGCTTATGGTAAGTAGGGCCCTGTGAAACTCATCCTAGAGGAATTTGTGATGAAATGCCAGGAATGGTGTTTGTTCATGGAGTCTCTCACAAGCTAATTGGCAAACCATGTGGACTGAGGATGAAGTGGAGGAGTGAGGGACCCTGTAGGGACGCTGAGCTGGCTGTAAGTGGCAGCAGGTGGTGCTGATCACGTCATGAAGATGTGCAGATGTTTGTAGATGTAGACATGGGTTCCTACTTTTCATGTAGCTGAGGTTTATTCTCCCATAGACTGACTTGACAAAATGAAGCAGGTTAATGCAGATTTCAACATGAAAATGAATTCCTCTGAGATGCAGGTGCGCTAGAGGGAGCGATCTGGGGCCGTCTCTGGGAGTCAGGCACTGTCCTGTTCTAGCGTGGACTCTGACTCCTTGGGAGGCTTCACTTCTTCATCATGTTTCCTCCGGCTTTTAGGAGATCCATATTTCCTTTCTCTGTTTCTATAATGGTAGTGATAGGGCAGAAACAGGTGGAGATGTCACCATGAGGCAGCTTCAGTACCTATGGCTTTTTCAATAGATGATGGCTGAGAAGCAGCCACGGAGGACCAGGGTTTTTGGTGGTGACCAGCTGACCTGGATTTCCCCAGTGACCCTAAAGGAACTTCTGGAATTTAAATTCAAGTACCCGCAGGCCCCTGTGGTCATGGGGAACACCTCTGTAGGTATGTAGAGCCCTGGGGACTTCTTATGGGAAAAATGAGAGAAGGGGTTTGGGGAGGAAATCTGAAATCTCCATATATGTGTGTTTTGGGAAAAGTCTACTGAAATACCTTTTTTTTTTTTTTTTTTTTTTTTTGAGTTAGAGTCTCACTCTATTGCCCAGGCTGGAAGACAGTGACATGATCACAGCTCACTACAACCTTGACCTTCTGGGCTTAGGCGATCCTTCTACCTCAGTATTCCAAGTAGCTGGAATTATAGGCATGCGCCTCCATGCCTGGCTAATTTTTTGATTTTTTTTTTTAGAGATGAGGTCTCGCTATGTTGCCCAGGCTGGTCTTGAACTCCTGGTCTCATGCAAACCTCCTACTGCAGCCTCCCAAAGTGCTGAAATTACAGATGTGAGCCACTGTGCCAGGCCTGAAAGAGCATTTTTAATCCTCTTGGGCTCAACTTCCTCAGCAATGCCCAATAGACTTTCTAACTATCATTAAATAAATGAATCCCCCTTGTCCCACCTTGGTATAGGTCACAGAGTCACACCCAAGAGGCTTGCTCTGTAGTAAATCAGCAGCAGCATAGGTAACAGCTGCCCTGTTTCTCCACACAGGGATTGGTCTGGGCCTCATGTTTGAAATTACTCTTGGTTTCCTCCCTGGGTAGTCTCTCAATAGATACAGCATTTATACTGAAACTGCAGTTACAAGGTCTTCTTGTTGTGGCCAGTGTAAACACAGTTTGAGGGGACCCTAGGGTTTTCCCAAAGATAATTCTGAGTATGCCACAGGTCCAAGTTTTAGGACTGGCAATTCCAGAGTCCTCCAAGTTTAATAAAAATCTATCCAGCTGTTTTCTCTGCATGTGATTTGGCAATAAACACACAATTAGAAAGAGACATCTTTTTCATATATTTAACAACTGTAATTTAATCATAATTTCAATTTTTAAAAGGCAATTAGTCCTTTATTCTAGTCCTCTTCTTTTTTTATCCTTTAGGGCTTGAAGTGAAATTTAAAGGTGTCTTTCACCCAGTTATAATTTCTCCTGATAGAATTGAAGAACTGAGTGTTGTAAGCCATGAATGTAATGGTGAGTTCTCAAGTCTCTGTTTCCTAAGTTAAAATGCATTCATCAGTTTATTTACCTTGTCCAGCAAACAAGCAGAAAAGAATAATTTTTAACTATAATATGCACAAAGGTTCTCTTCTTATAAGAATGATAACATTCTGGAATGGGGCTCAGGGAAGGATTTTTTAGAGTTACATTAGATACTAACTGAATAGTCAGATTTTTACAGAAGAACTTTCTCCATCTGCAGTATCAGAGAAATGTAACAGCTCTTCAGTGAAGGGTATTGTGCTTAGTGCTAGACAGAAGATAAAGATGAATAGGATTCTTTGCTCCTTAGAAGCATGGTAGCAAGCAAAGTAAGTTTATGAAGCAGCCTGCCGACTGGCTTTCCCATTCCTGTAGAGGAAATTAATTCAATGGCAATGATGAGAGGCAATATAATTGTGGGTTTAGAGCACAGCCTCTGAAATCAAATTCTTGACTGTGATACACATTATTAGCTATAAGATCTTAAGCAAGTTACATAAGTAACGCACAGTTTTCTAATCTGTGAAATGGGACTATTACTATCTGATTGGTTTGCTCAGATTTAAGGAAATTATCTAAAGCATTCAATATAGTACTTTATAGAGTGTTCAAAGAACTCAGCCTCCATCACCACCACCTCTATAGCCACCATCTCCATCACCACCACAATTACCATCACCACCACCTCCATCACCACTCCCATCTCCATCACCACCACTGTCACTATCACCACCACCACCGTCACCATCACTACCTTCATCACTACCTCCCTCACCACTACCCTCACCATTACCTCCTATCTCACCACCATCCCATCATCACAACTCTCATCAACTCTACCACCAATAAGCAGGGCCACATGTATCCAGTATAAAGATTCCAAGTCTGTAACTTTGGTATAAGGAACATTTTTAGGTCAGCAGTGATCACACTGCATTATTTACAGATGTCTTCATTTCAGGACTCACCCTGGGTGCCGGCCTCAGCCTGGCCCAGGTCAAGGACATTCTGGCCGATGTGGTCAAGAAGCTTCCAGAGGAGAAGACACAGATGTACCATGCTCTCTTGAAGCAATTGAGAACTCTGGCTGGGTCCCAGATCAGGAACATGGCGGTATGTATGTGATGACAGTAAACTCGGGTATGCATCCCTTGGGTGACTGTCCCTGATGAACATGACATTTTCATTCTTTTAGAACAAGTGAACAGAACAGTTCTCCAAAGCCTTGCTTAGCCCTTATTTTAGCACTTGTGCTTTTACAGGTACATAACTGAAGTGAAAATAACTCATTATCTTAATCAGTCTTTAGGAGGACACATTATGAGCAGGCATCCAGACTCAGATCTGAATCCCCTCCTGGCTGTGGGCACCTGTATCCTCAATGTGCTCTCGAAAGGTAAGTAACAGCTCTGACCCAGGGAGCCTTAACTCATTTCCCCTGCCTCCTTTTCTCTCTGGCAAGGCAGAGTCCAGTTTTGAAAATGACTGTTCCCTATAATATCTACAAGTGTGTGCCTTTCTGGGTGCTGGGAAGTTGGTCAGTCTTGTCTTAACACCATATTCTCCCCGACTCTTCATCTGTTTCTTTTTGAGACCTTGTGCTAGATGTTTCCTCATGCTGGTCACCTTACACTGAACACGCTTGTGTTGGTTAAGGTCCGGTTGTGGTCTGATCATTGGAGAGAACTATAAGCTGTTGAGAATGATTGGACCCTTTGTTGAAGACATTCTCTAGGCGGTGCGGGAGTGTCGTGGCACCCACATTGCATTTGGGGCTCACACTTCATTTATTATGCTTGAACACACACAGGTCTTCTTCAATTGCACATGGAGTTGGGCCTCATTTTGCACTTATTTACTTGATTTTTGTTTTGAAAGCTAAGTCTAGATCATTTAATTTATTTCTCTTATTCCAACTTGCTCAACAGTTATTAGGAAGCTCTCATTGGTTTTTTATAAGCCTGTTTTTTTTTTTAATTACAAATTATGGGCTAACTTTCTATCACCTGCATTATTAAATATCTATTCCTCAAACTATCCAAACCACAGCATTATCTTAAGAAGGAAGATTTGCCATCAGAGTTTTCAATTTAAGTTCCATCCCCTTGAAAAGTCATACCGTGAGAAATTGGTTTTGTGATATGAGTATAGACACCAAAAGTCTCTTAGCTTTCATCCCCAAAGCATGTTTTGTTATAGCTTGAAACTTCTCCTCCTCCCATATATTAAAATTAAAGAACTGAAGATCTTTAGGTGCTGGAAAAAGGTGTAGACAAACATCACGGCACTGCTCTTCAGGTTTATGAAGGAAATTGTATTATTCACTAATGTACCCAGTAGTGTTCCTTGTTATAAACAACAGATGTTTGTCGACTGATCAAGATAGCAAAAAAAGATATTAATGTTTACTTCCTACTTGTAAAACTCTAAGTGAATTATGCTGCAGGCAGAGGACTGCTAAGGTCCAGTTCTACCTGAAACCCTAGGCTACCCTGCTAGATATTTTTATCTGTAAGCAAGCAAGGAAGGCAAAAAAAGACAGAGTCTATACTGGAAGAAACATTGCAAGGTGCCATCATAGGTGAAAGGATTGGCTAAGTGCAGGAGGCACTCTTCTTCCCCTGAACAACCCGTTTTCTCAGGTATTTGGTGGAGTTCTTTCCCAGGTTTTGGAAGTTTGTTTAGCGGACCAAGAAGGTTCCAGAGAACATGTCACTTCTTTTTGCAGAAGGAGAACGACAGATTCCCTTAAATGAGCAATTCCTCAGCAAGTGCCCAAATGCAGATCTGAAACCTCAAGAAATCTTGATCTCAGTGTACATCCCCTACTCAAAGAAGGTGAGAACAACTACTATTAATTTCCTGGTTTTACCTGTGAGTCTAGGTTTGTTTATTCCAGCATATGGTGGGTTAAGAAAAAATGTTAAGGCTAGGCTCTGTGACTCACATCTATAATCCCAGCACTCTGGGATTATAGATGTGAGCCAGGGCAGGAAGATTGCTTGAACCCAGAAGTTCAAGACCAGCCTAGGCAACAAAGTGAGACCTCTTCTCTACAAAAAAATTAAAAAATTATCCAGGTGTGGTGGCATGTGCCTATAGTCCCCGGTACTTGAGACGTTGAAGCAGAAGGATTTCTTGAGCCCAGGAGGTCAAGGCTGTGGCTAGCCGTGATTGTGCTACTGCACATCA